GTTGCTCCTTTTAAAGGTCAATTGGAGAGTTCATATTAGATACCTCTAGTAATTACATCTGTGCAGAACTATGGGTAATTGTGTCCTGCCTAATTTACAGCAGCAAAATATCTGACAATGCCTTGTAATTGGAAGTTCTAACCTTCAGGTGTTTTCTGGGAAGGATGCTGGTTCTATGCCTAATCTGCCTGTAGAAGGAGACAATAGTTTTGTTGTGAAATGCCTTGAAGTTGGCACTTGTGTGTTAGTTCACACAGTCCTTGGTGATGATGGGGTTGATGCAATGCCTGATGTGGATATACATTCACACGGTGTTCCCAGGGAACCTGTGCTTGGAATGTGAGATGGGCAACAGTCTACAGGCTGAGTAGGAAGTGCAAAGTATCCCAGTTTGCATGTTAGCACTTCAAAGCTGCATTGCCAGTTGATTGATAAAACACGAAGGAATTGGAGCCATTAAAGATCCACATAATAATTAATTTTTATGCTTTTCTCATGGTCTCCCCTCCATTTTGCACTGATGGTTAATTTCAGTCAAGAACAGCTGCAGAGGAGGAAAGGACATTTCTTATCTACCTGCTATTGTCATCACAACTGCTCATCCTTGTTTAGATCCAGGAAGGATAAATACAGCATCTACATTCATTATTGTGACCAAAGCACGGAGATCTTGCTTGAGTGTCTTTGGCAATGCAGATCAAGCTGGATGGACCTACAGATCCAGGCTCTAAGGCTCTTTGTAACATCTCTGCTGCCTTGATTTGTAGATCAAAGCTGCTGTTCACTCCTGGGATCAAAGCCAGTGTTTAACCTCTGGAATCTCATAACCTGAACAACCTTCCATTACAATTTCAAATCATCTTAGTTGTCAGATTCTCTCAGTTTTCACAGTCCTGTTAAATGGACTGGACAAACAGTTATTAAGCCTTACATACAAAGTACATTTCTTTAAGTGTGTTAATGTCAAAGCATGTTCTGTGTGGTTGAATCTTCCTAGGTTTGCAGAACTCCAGACATTTACTGCATTAGACTTCAGGCCTCTAGAAGATGAGAAGTGTGATGTTGTTATTGAAAAGCCAACCTACTTCATGAAATTAGATGCAGGTAATTAATGTCTTTTAGTTTATTTCTTTTATCCTGCAGTACTCCAGTAAAAAAAGCCCAAATCCAACTTGCCCCTCTACATTCTGTCTTTGTGAATTTTTCATTCCTTTTTTTTTTTCCTGTGGTTCCAGTGATGAACTTGGAAACTTAAATTTGGAAATCTTGCATTTTCCCACAGATAAAAAAAGTAATAAAAAAATAATCCTGCAACTTGTCTTGCACAGTCATTCCCTTGACTGTGTTCTGACAGTCTTTGACACTGTGCCAAAGGCTGTTCTGTACAGTCTCTGGCTCTGTTTCTGCATGACAAGTTTCATACCATGAAACACAAAGTGTGGGTGTCTGTGTCTGGTGTGTTCACTAACAGGGTTCTGTGTGTATTGGATGATGGGGCAGAGGAAATGGCATTCCAAGAGGGGCAGCAGCTAAGCACCTTTAGGAATCACTAGTGATATCTGACAGTTTTTGAACTTCACTGGTGGTTTTGTTTGTGCAGCACAATTTGCAGACAGATGTTAATGGCAGAGGGTGTTCAGGATGTAGACACACAAACCAGCTGCTGTGGGGGAAGCTGTGGTTTGAACAGGAGAGTTGTCTGCTGTGTTCTGACTCTGTGGCACATGACAACTTTAACCTGAATTACCCCTCTTCCCCTTCAGGCCACTGTCTTACACTTTAAGCAGGGAACTGCACAATGTAACCTCCTTTGTTTCATGGTAGATTTTTGTGTGCCATGGCATGAACTTAAGAAACCAAGAATGAACAAGAATGCTCGGAGAAAACCTGAGGAATTACTTGGGCTTTGGCTTGTGTGCAAGTGCAAGTTTTGTCTTGCAGTCCTGCAGACAGAGCTTTCCTTAGCCCTCCTAAAGTAGAGCCAAAATCAGTGCCCAAGGCCAGTTTTTGTGTTTCCTGTATGTCTAATTGGCTAGTGTTAATGCAGGAGTTCCTTTCATGTCCTTGCAGCTGCAGCTGTAATGAAAAATACCACATGAAACTTACCTTTTTCTTACGCTTTCTTTCGGCCACTCTTCTAATTTCTGTGTACTTTTAAAAAACATATTTTACTTTACATTTCTTACCTTGATTCCTTACCTTCAAAGGTTTACTTTTTTAGGGTATGTTTGTAGCAAATCAGTCAGAAGAAAGGGAAAACTGACATAAAGTGCAGGATACTACTCAGGAATAATGCCTGAACCAGTAAAAGTGGAGTGAGTAATGCAGTGTTTTGCTCACAATTCTTTCCTTCTCAGGTGTTAATATGTACCATCACTTCTGTGATTTCGTCAACCTTTACATAACGCAGCATATCAATAATTCCTTCAGTACTGATGTCAACATAGTCATGTGGGACACTGTAAGTCTGCTCTGCTTTTAACATGTTTGTAATGGGTTGTATTTCTGCTTTATAGAGACTCTGAAGCTTTTAGTAGCCAATCCTCAGCTCTTGTGGGCTTAGCCACATGGAACTGATACATTTTTGGATCCTGTTAATACAGGTGCATGAACAATAGTTGGGGAACAGATTTTCTGCCATAAACCATGTGCTGTTTGAATGCTATTCTAGCTCAGCTTTTGCTGGTACATAGTTAAGCCTTTGCTTGGTGTGACCTCAAAACCAACATGGTCAGTATTTCTAACTTGTAGCACTTGAACATTTCATGCTGTTTTCTGTAGGCTTTTTTCTCTCAGAATATTGAAGTAGATTTACTCAACTGTTTCTGTATTCAAAAGGAAATGCAGTCTTGCATCTTTCTAAATCAATAATGTGCAGCCTGTAATAAAGAAAACAACTGAATTAAATCCTTATGTATATATCAAAACAGGGTCTAATATTTAATTTCTTTAGTCTTCTTGCAGTTGTTTCTCTCAATCACCTCTCAGATTGCTACATATAAAACAGTGAGGCTGTTTCTGCTGAGTTGAAACCATGACTGTGTTCAGGAGTAATATTAGTTTTGCTGGACAATAGTTTAAATTGTGTAGGAGAGTGTTAAACTAACTAACCAACAACAGGGCAGTGTGTAATATGCCAGATAATGGTCAGGTCCAGAAATAACACAGTTCTGGACTATGATACTGTCCCACACCTGTTTTGTGCTCATAAAGTGCTGGGGTTTATTTCTGTGTGTTTACTGCCAGGACAGCTAACATTCAATAGCGAATTTCAAGTATCTTCTGTTTGCTATTCAATAAGACACCTCTTTGGCTAGAAGAGACCCTTTTTTCTAGTTCTATTGCATTTTTAAAGCTAAAGTGCCATCTGCCTGATAAGCAGGCTCTCTAGATGTGACACAGGGACCAGTTCATCCAGCTCTGTTGGCTTTCTGAAAAGCTCAGATGTCAGGCAGCATTGTAAATTCCTTTGGAAAGCACCTCTTTGTCTTACATCCCATTGTTGAATCAAATAACTCTTTCAAATGTGCCATTCAAAGTCAGTACTTGTCACAGTAGTATTTAAAGTCAGCCTTATCTGCTCAGGCTGCTGAGTTCATTGCTGTGTACAACCAGGTGATGGCACCAGCCAACTGCTGATGGACCTTCTGTGCTGATCGAAAGGTGGACTTGAGCTTATTACTCATTCTCTTCTTTTTATCCCCTTGATATAATTAGATTTGGCCATACTTCCTAGCTACTGTTCTTATTAAACAGTAATGCCCTTAGATGTAGGTTAAACAAAGCAGAAAATGAGTAGGAATTCCACTGGGTGTTGGTTTGCAGACTCTCTGCCAAAGCAGGGAAGCAATGTTTGTAAAGCACTTCTAAGGAGAGCAGGGGGGTTAGAAAGTGGTATTTTCATCAGTTCTCTACTTCTAATCTGGAAGAGCAGTTCTTGTAATGCAGATGGCCAGAAAGCAGTTTGGCTTGTAAAATTCATTAAAACCTAACGACAGAGGAAGGGGAAGGAATCACCTCTTCAACTGAAGGAAATCTGATGCCCTTTAGATTCTTTTACATTTCACTAGGTATCTGCTCTCCTCTGTGATCATCTGTAGGCTTATTTTCAAACGTCTTGCTGAGAATGTTCCCACATAACTTTCCAAGCAGCCTGAACCAGCCCCAGAGTTGAAAGGAAGCTTTAAGTGAAAATGTGCACCAGGGCTACCCAGGGCACATTGAACTGCGTTCAAAGAGCAAGAGGTGGTGACTCAGCTCTCGGATGTGTAGGAAATGCGACAGATTTAGAAGGCAAGAGCCCCTGCTGCTAGGCTAATGCTGTAGGGAGTAGATGATTCTTTAAAGGTTCCACAGAGCATTGCTGCAAAGGGGAAAGTTTTTTACTGCCCTGTATAGAAACTTCTTGCTAGTTTGTCAAAGTAACCCAAAACATAATTTTCTGGCTGTTTCTTCCATCAAATCAAATTTGTGATACATGTGCAATATGCAAGTGACAAACCCAAACCAGAGGCAAATGCAAAACAGGTTTGTGACTTTTCACCTCCAACCTTACTGCTGCACTTGAATTCCCAGGTGGATTTTCAGTCTCAAGAGTCAAGGTTTGTGTTTTCTGCCATCCTTGTGTTTCTGTTACTTCAAATTTAGCTTGTGCTTTGTTTTCTCTGGGAAAAGCAGTAAGTGCTTCTCACTGCTAACTCAGAAATTCTAATCTTCTAGTGAAGAACTTGTCTAGATGGCTAATATATAGAAGTTTTAATTAAAAGTTAACTACCTGACAGGTAATTTGAGTTACCTGCCACTGTAAATGCAGAGCTCAGTGTTCTGTAGTGTCTGTACTAGACTGTCTGGAGTCCCACAGTGGTGATGCACATATTAACTGTGTTTTAAAACCGACATGCAGAACTTATAAGTCATGAGGGGAGGTTTTTATATATCATTTATGTAATCATCATGCCCTTGTGTTTTTTGCTTCCCTCCTAGAGCTCATATGGCTATGGTGACCTGTTCAGTGAGACATGGAAGGCATTTACTGACCATGAAATAATACACTTGAAAACCTTTGACTCTAAAAGGGTATGGAATTTTATATTTTGTTTTAATTCATAGCCACTAGGGAGCAACTGTGACAACTTCTCAAGCTGCTTGCAGTTATGGGTGTTCAGAGGAAAGCAATAATCCTTTCCATGCATGTTTAATTTGTGTAGTGTGAGTATTCTGCCTTATAAATAAGAGACAGTTCTAACCACATTCTGTGTTGTGTCTATCCTTTATATAGATGGACCCAACTTTTGTGTCCTGGGAGGTGGTATTTATGTGTGGGTTTTCTTTCTGCAGGACCCACGACTGTAGTTAAGGGTTATCAAATGGTACTGTCTTTCTATGTCTTCTGATTTCTCCTGAGGTGTTTCTCTTCCACTGTACCTGCTGGTGTATCTGTTGCTTATCATTAAAAATTTGCTACTCACACTAAAAATGTAACCATTCATTCAGAGCTTATTTAAACCTCTTAAATCCATTTTTAAGTTCACTAACTGGTTTTCTATTTAGTTCATGTTTGTTCTGTTTCAGGGTGGGGTTTTTCTCCTCCTTCCACTCTTGCATCTGTAGCATCCCAAGCAGAGCTCTTTTGGGATCAGGATTGTCTTTGTTCTGTTGATTTGCACAGTCAAGGAAGTGAGGATGTTCTTAACAGGAGCAGTAATTGCTAGCTCATTATGAGCAGTGGCCCCAGTGAATGAGCATGGGGAAGGTAGCAGTGTGGTGTAACTCCTTGTGATGTTCTCTTGCAGGTGTGCTTTAAAGAAGCAATTTTCTCCCTACTGCCTCGGATGAGATATGGCTTGTTCTATAACACACCACTGGTGAGCCCCTTTTATCCAGCCACTGTGTTAACTAGGTGTGTGTGTGACAGTATGGAGTCTGAGCTGATGAATCCCTGCAGTATCTAGCTGAGTTATCATGAAATGTACCACAGTGAAGCACCAACTCCAAATGAAATGAGCTGCCCTAAAGATGAGGATTTTGAAGTTACTTTAACTGGTTGTGAGCAGTGTCCTATGTCACAGCCAGGAGGTGCATATTATTCCTCTTGAATGGCTGAGTACTGTGAACTTACTGGTATTTCTGCAGAGCACAAGAGCTTGAACACAGCCAGACTTTCCCAAGAGTATTAGCTCATGAATTCAGGTTCTAGCACTAGACACTTATATTTCTTTCTGACTGCAAGTGGCACTTGTGTTGCAGTGAATAGTGATGTGTTTAACAGAGTGCAATGATACTGGGCTTTTGTTCCACAAGAATGGCAAAAAACTGATCACAAACTGAGGTTTTCTGAGCAAAGTAACTTTGTGTATTAACAATTGCTGTTTTAATTTCAGATCTCTGGCTGCCATGGTACAGGGCTGTTCAGAGCATTTGCTCAGCATGTGCTACACAGATTAAACATTACACAAGAAGGACCCAAGGTAGGATAACTGAATAATGAACTTGTAATATAGAGCTGATGGCTCTTAGCACAGAAACAGCATTAACAAACTGAACCCAGTGGGGAATGAGGGTGTATTGTGCACTTTTTATCCTTTCCTTTGATGCTTGGGATTTTTTTACCAAGAAGTCAGACTGTTCTGTAAAGGCCTTCAGCAAACATTTGTGTATGTTAGTGAAAGACCCTTGTGTCTTACTTCCATAAGACAGACTTGAGAACATCCTCCTGCCAACCCCAAGGGTCTCATCTCTCTGTCCATTCTCTGTGCTCAAGGCCTTTGTGTCCTCCTAGTTCAGTAAGATACATGTTACATGGTCTCTTCTGGAGCATGTGTTGAGGTCCAGCAGAAAGGGATCCCACAGAGCAATGCAGTGAACTTGTCCTTTATCCATCCTCATAGGTACTGCTGAGCTTGGATCAGAGGAGGAACTGATGGAATCTGGTCCTTCCAATCCTTGCCCAGCACCATCTGTCTGGCCCTGGGTTTCTCTGCTGTCCACACTGGTGTTTTTTGCACGTTGCAGTGATGGACAAAGCAGTTCTGGGCTACTTGAAGTGTTTGCTAGAGAGTAACCTACGTATTACTGCTGAGGGACTCACGTTGAGAGCTCTGCACAGGCTTTAGTTATGCTTCTCCTGCTGACACTAATGGGAGTCATGCAGTTAAACCTCTTTATTTCACTTGGAACGCTTACCCCTGTGAGTCCAATTAATTAAAAGAGGTAAAAGGAGCAACTGTTACAGAAGTAAAATATTTTTTTCCAAGGATCTTGTGCGCAAGCCATCCTGAAAGCTGCTTTCCTGCTTTCAAAAACTGCCATATAATGTGGAATACAAAAGCTCTTTTGTACTGAATAAAATAAATCTTTCAGAAAATGTTTCATTCTTTGTTAATAGTCAGACTTGCCCAAAGTTTTTGACACTTTGAACCTGCTGGAAAATACGCCGTGAATTTTAAGGCGGTTACATCATCTATTTATTACATGGGGAAGGAACATATTTAGTTTCTCAAAGAATTGCCAAAAGTAAATATGGAAGTGTTTGGGATTGTTTGTTTGTGAGGTTTGTCTCTTAGCTAATCCACTGCTGCTTCTTTCTTTTCAGGATGGGAAAATTCGAGTCACCATCCTCGCTCGCAGCACAGATTACCGGAAAATATTAAACCAAAATGAGGTGTGGTCCTTTTTGGGTTTAAAACGGATTAAATTTTTCTTATTGGATTGATTTCTTTTTTTTTTCCCAGTTACAGCCAAGACATCTACTTGCTGACAAACCTTGGACAAATATGTCCAATGCTTATATTAATTTCTTCTAGTGGGTGTTCTAGCAGTCTCCACTGCTGCCCATCAGACACCAAACCTCACTGCCCTTTCTAAATATCGAATGGAAGACTCAGATGTAATACTAGAAGTGTTTCCTCTCAACAAACAGACCCTGCAGAGCTTCTGATAAAGCTAAACTGTTTTGCTTTCAGAAGATTTCTTTTATTTGTAGCATCCCCAGTGCTGAAGAACTCTAACAAAGCTCTCTGTAGTGCCTGCAGATTGAAATGCCTTTGTGTCCGAGTCTGTGCCCTCAGAACTTAATGAATTTGCTTATTGATTCATGTTTTTGAATCATGCAGCTCAGTGGACTTTTGGTGTAGCTTCTTTATGGGGTAAAATGATAATATTTAATGTTTTCCTACCCGTTTTCATTCTTACTGTTAGTGCCTGACAAAAATGAATTGGGTTTATTATCCCCTCCTTATGCAGGGAGAAACTGAGGCTCATGTGATGCAGTAGCTCTGTGGCAGAATGGACAGAGCACAGATGGCTTGATTTGTGCTTTATGTGCTGGGCTGTTCTCAGTTCATACCTCCACTGCTGCCTGTAGTGTGTGTTCTGGTAAAATGCCTGTGACAGAAAGGGAGAAGTTAATTTTATCTTTACCACCCTTGTGTAAAAGTAAATGCTTGGCTCTTTCTCCCTCTACTCCAACATGGATTGGAGTCTGACAAAAAGCCTTTTAGTTTTGAAGTCCAGGTCTAACCTGGTTTCACTTCTCATGTGAGTAAGAGTCTCACCTAGTAATGTATTTTTGAAAATCCTTCTAGCTACCAATTTGCTTCTTTAGATATTGAAATATCTTTTGTAAATCCAATCACGTCTCCCCACTATTCCTGGCAAAACTCCTCTGAGTATGAATGGGTTAGGATTGGGACCTGAAGCATGTAAAAGCCAAAAATAGCCTCTGAGTGCAGGTGATCTGAGTCTCCTTTTCAGGGATTACTCTGCCTGGAATAACATACATCTTAGGTGGGAAGGCCCAGAAGGAGGGGAACCACTCCAGCTTAGTATGTGCTGTCTCACTGTAATTCCCTGGTGGGAGGAGCAGTGTGTGAAATAGTCAGGAGTGCAAGGGAACAATTAACTGAAGGAGAACACCAAATCAGTGTCTTTTTATTTTTCTCCTCAGCTTGTGAATGCTTTGAAAACAGTGTCGACGTTGGAGGTCAAAGTGGTGGACTACAAATACAAGTACGTGAGTGGATGGAAGAAACTGGTGTGAGCTCATGCTGCTTGTGGCTGGTGAAAACTGCTTGCAGGCTGTGCTGTGTGTCCCCATGTCTTACCTGTGCAAAATCCAAGGGCTGGGAAAGAATAGTGTTACTGAGGGAGTGGTGGATGAGCTAGTCGAGCACTCCCATCCTACGATGCTCTGCGTAGGGGTGAATCTCCAGAGTGAGTAGGCTCAGGTTAAAGCTACTGTATGATGAGCAAGTTTTAACATCACTGTTTTTTCTGTTTCGTCCCCTCTCCTCAAAACAGCTGCATTCCCATCACCCTTTTGCATCTGCTAATGCTCTTCAGTACCTGTGGCTCAACAGGGATTTCTCTTGTATGATGCTTATGTCCTACTTTATAGAATCATAGCATGGCCTGGCTTGGAAGGGACCTTAAAGGTCATCTAATCCCAACCCCATGCCATGCACAGGGACAACTTCCTTTAGACCAGCTTGATCAAAGCTCCATCCAGCCTGACCTGGAACATTTCCAGGGATGTGATCATTAGTTTAGTAATGAATAATAGTTCAGCTTATTTGCTGCTCTGGTGGCCCCTGAAGATACCAGCTCAGGTCAGTTTGTGGTGCCAGGTGTAGTAGGCATTGTGGTAGTAAGGAATGGCTTGAAGGAAAAGTTCCCAAGGGGTGTATGACTGTGCCAAATGGCAGCAGCTCCATCTACTCAGTGGTGCTGGCCTGGGTCATGCAGGAAGAGTGAAAAACAAGCAGCAGTGAGAGCTGAGTGACCAAAACAGAGACAATGTGAGGAAGTCAATTTGTATACTTCTATATTACACTGAAAACAGTTTAGAAACAGTTTAGATCTTTTATGTTGGGTTTTTGATTTTTGTTTTGGGGGTTTTGTAATGGTTTTGGCTTTGCTTTTTTTTTTTTAAGGCAAGTAAAAAACCCCCAAACTACAAAAACTTAAAAAAATATTTTTGGAACAAATTCTTGTGAAGTTTTGGAATCTGTCTGCACTTCTCTTAATTCCATGCTGAGTTATTGCTGGCTGCAGCATTTGTGGTTCTTAGTATTGGGTCTTGAAAAATCAGTTCTCTCTTTCAGTATTTCCTTAAGCTAATTTTGTGCTTTCTCCATGTGTCTGATCCTTGCTGTGGTGAGTAGACAGACCTGCCACATCACCACTTTTGTTGTGTTGTCTGCAGGGAACTTGAATTTTCAGAGCAACTGAGAATTACCCAGAACTCTGATATATTCATTGGGATGCATGGAGCTGGACTGACCCATTTGCTCTTTCTACCAGACTGGGCTGTTGTTTTTGAGCTGTAAGTTTGTTTCTCTTTCTTTCCCCTCTATTATACAGACATCTGCTCATGTCTGTTCCTGTGTGTTAGTGAAGCCTCTCCCTTGCTAGTATTTGACCATGAATGTTTGTCTTGTATCCTCATCTTTGGCAACCTCTTCTGGGGATCAGAAGGGAGGAAGCTTTTGTTATCAAAT